ACACTTTATCAAAGTGTCTTGCCCACATACCAGTTGAATTTCAGGTTTGGCTTGAAATTGTAGAAATAGATGAATTATTTGAGATTGTATTAGTTATGCATTGCTGCATGACACATTACCCCGAAGTTTAGCAGCTTGAAATAGCACTTATACATCTCACACCCTGTCTGAGGGTCAGGAAACTAGGAACAGCTTGGCTGGGGGATGCTAGCTCAGGATCTCTTGTCAGGTTGCAGTGAAACTGTTGGCTGGGGCTGCAGTCTTATCTGACCAGATCCTCCGCCACTCATGTAACTGTGGCAGGAGACTTCAGTTCCTTGACATGGAGGTTTTGTAACATGGTCTCCCCATAGTGAATGCTGAGAGAGACAGAAGAAAAGAGAGAGGAAGGGAGAGGACCCGAAGGTGAAGCAGAAAAATCTTTTATAACCTAATCTCAGAAGTGACAGATGATCACTTCTGGCGCATGCTATTATTGATCACACAGACCAAGCCTGGTATGTGTGAGAGAGGTCACCCAAAGTCACAGATACCAGGTGTCCGGGATCATTAAGAACCATCTTGAAGGCTAACTGATACAGAGCTGAACTGAACACGTTACGGTATTGCAGCTTTTCAACTGTGAACGCAGGGTGTCCCTATACCAACTTAAATCCTCGGTGTGCCCTCAGCAAGGATTTTTACTTTTTTTCACATAGATCCACACAATGTTTGTTAAATTTATTCGCAGTGTTTCACACGTGGTTCCTATTGTGAACTGGATGTCTTTCATATTGTATTTTCTAAGTGGCTGTTGCACTCATACAGGGACCCTATTGATTTTTATGGCCATTATTTTTCAGGGGAGCTTAACGGGTAACAAAGCAGAAATTCCTCTAGACTGTCACTGAGCCTTTGGATCACAAAACAGAGACCAGATAAGATTCTAAATGTGCGCTTGGGACCAGTTTCCCCAAGTGACTGTGCGCCTGGGAGGTGGGAGGAGAAGGTAAGGAAGGCCTTCCCGCAGTCTGTCTTTATGTGATGCTCAGGGCTGCCTGAAGTCAAGATGATGGGGTTCCCTGACCATGACTTGACCCTGCCTTTACTTTTTTATTTATTTTTTTTGACCCTGCCTTTAAAAGAGCCCTGTGGTCAGGGCCTGGGGGGATAGCCAGGGCAAGTGGCCAGTCCACCTAATGCCCTAGAGACTTAGCCCATCTGCCTATGACCTCCAGGTATGAATCTCCAATAGCATCTCCCCAGAGCCCTGTTCTGCAGCGTTTGCACAGCCTCTGGTCAATTCCCACATGAATGTTCCATCATCCATTCTCATTTCTAGTAGCTATGGTGTTTATCCAGTACTTGCTGCACACCCAGCACTGGGGATCAGCAAAGCACCTGTCCTTGTAATGCTTGTTACAAGTGGGAGAGAGAGACCACCAAACCAATTGTAAAATAGTCTCTTACAGAGTAAGTGATACGAGAATAAATAGAGCAGAATAAGGGAGGCTTCCTCAAAGTTTCTACCTGCAATGCAGGAGATGCAGTACACTGGTTCGTTCTCTGGGTTGGGAAGATCTCCTGGAGGAGGAAATGGCAACCCACTCCAGTATTGTTAACTGGGAAATCTCATGGACAGAGGAGCCTGGTAGGCTACAGTCCATGGGGTCACAAACAGTCGGACATGACTGAGCATACACACAACCAAGGAGGGATGTGGAATATAGAGGAGCTAAAAGTTTGAGTAAAGACTTGAGTGGGGTGAAGGAGCTAGCTGGGCCCTGGGCAGAGGGAACAGCCAGTATAAGGGAAGGAGTGTGTATCTGTGGAAAGGTAGAATGGGAGTGGTGGTTAACAGGGACTTTGGGGGGGGCAGGTAGCTGGGAGGAGGCAGATTCTGTAAGCCTTGGACTTTGAGTGACACAGGAGCCACTGCAGGCTTTCAAGTAGAGGAGTGACATGATCTACACTTTAAAACGATTTTAGCTGTAAGCAGATACCTGATACGAAACTCTGGGATAAGGAAATGCCCTCTCTTGCACCCTTGGTCCCCACTGGCCATGCTGCTACAGTCCTCACCACCTCCCTCCTAGACTTTGGCCAGAGTCCACTGACTTCTCCCAACCTCCTGCTCTTCTGTCTCAGAGAAATGTCTCCAAGCCCTTATGCAACTTAGGAACCTCTGGTGACAGGAAGGATTATCCCTGCCAAGGTTCTAGCCTTCCTGCTAGGAAGGTCTGGCTTTGTCTGCATGTCCCTCTTTGGGGGTGGGTGCCAGTGTGGACAAGACTATGCATGTCCTGTCCCGTGTCCAGAGGCCAGTTTTCTTGGGTCACATTTTAGCCCTTCTGAAATATATTTATTTCACTCATAAGAATTATCTATCTTACCCACTGTATAAAGCAATACAGAACGGCCTAAAGTGGGCTTCCTCCCCCTTCCAACAAGAAAGCAAGAAACCATGTGTGTCTTCTTTCATATTCTTCCTTCGTTTATACGAAAACAATCAAACATAGAATTTTTAAAATGGATTGCACCATGCACAATCCTCTGAGTGTCACCTTTCCATTTTTCTGCCCTGGACATATTCCTCGGCCAAAGCAGACATATAGACTCCATTCTTTGTGACAAGTGTCAGTGTTCCTCATTAGGCCACTCCCCACCCCAGTGGGGGACATTCGGGTGGTTTCCAGTTACTTGCGTAAGAACATTGCCTGCGTGCACCCTGCCCCCAGAGAGAACTGCGTTAGCATGCAAAGTTAAACACAACACATCAGCCGATGAAAAATGAAAACAAAATAAAACCAGGTGGAAGGCGGTAAAGGGTCATGTGTAAATACCCCTGGGACTCCTCACCTTATTCGTTTCCAGTCGCTGGGCGCTGCTTCGGCCGCAACTGCGACAAGCTCCTTTGGTCTGCGCTGCCTCCGCCTTGGCGTCCGGGCCCTGGACCGCCGTCGTGGACTGTCGCACCGCGCCAGCGGCGGGAAGGGGTCCGCCTGTGCGCAGATCCTGGGGCGTCCCGGCGCGCTTGGCCGGCGCTAGCTCCTTGTTCTCCTGTAGGGCTCTCCCACGGGCAGGCGCGCCCACTCCCATTGGCCGTCAGGGGGCGCTCCAGGCCGAGTCTAGCGGCCTCCTTCGCCCGGGGACCGCGACCGGCGGGCGGAAGCCAGGCCAGAGGTGGAGCGCGGAGACGGGCCAGGCAACTCCCACCCGCGCCGGCCCTAGCACGTCTTTCCGGAAACCCGATCCAGCCCGCGCCCAGGCTGCGCTCCACGGTCAGTCTCCTGCCCTACTGACCTGGGATTGCCAGGGAACTCTCTGCCCGCTGGGGCACAGAATGGGGCGCTAGCGTCGTCCTTCCCATTTGGCTACCACCCACCCTCTCTCAAACGTATCACCACCACGAGGATGACACTATCACCGCCCTGGCCAGAGGACAAGACCTCATGCCGACGGCAACCGGCCTGTCCCAGCAGCCCTGTATTGTGCCCTCTCTCTGCCCTCCCTGAGTGGGGAAGAGAGAGAAGAGGGTGGGTGGCATCCAGAACCACAGCGCTGCATGGCAGGAGCCTCTGTGTGGGGCCTCCATGGTCTGGGTCAACCTGGGACAGGCCAGCCCGACCTGGGGGAGGGGCAGCCTGGCCCTCCATGCTTCTTGTGACCCCCTGGGCATAAAGATCACCCACTCACACCTGGGTTCCATCACTCTGGGGTGCTTGATCCACCTTTAGTCCTCTTGGGGAGGGAAGAGGATGTGAACGTTACCGTCCCTCCCAGGCCATAGTGCCAAACTCTGTTTGTTTTCTCCTGCTCAGGCTACAGACCATCAAAATATTCATAGTATCTAGTGGATGTCAAATTTGAAAATTAGATGAAGTCCCCGGGTGGCAGCCTGTGGAGTGGGTAGCCAGAGGCAAGTCTCTTGCCTTCTCTAACCGTTTCCTTGTCTGAATACAGGGGCAGCTGGGAGTAGCTCTGAGTGCCTATTAGGGTGAACTTTGGATCTCAGCATGAGCAACACTACCCATCCTCATGGCCAAAGATAGGTAAGTGCCCTCCAAGCAGAAAGCAACATCCTCCTCTGTCCAGGACGCTTCACATTCAGGGCATGAAGAGGACAGAGAAAACACACTTGTATTTGTGATCATGTCCAGATACTTGCAACAACAACAACAACAACAACAACAACAAAAGGATCAGCAATGACCACAACTGATCCCAGACTGAGCCAGCCCATTACAGGGGAAAAGGAGAGGATAGCTGCTTCCTTCATGTCCCTGAATCCTGTGATCAAGCCCCTTAGGTGTCCCTACTGATTCCATGTTGCTTTCTTCCTTAACTGCAAGCCAGAAAGAAGGGCAGATCTCTTTTCCTCCAAGGCAGTGTTAGAAGCATTATCTCAGTAGGCCAACGTCCTGGAAAAGAGGTAGGCTGGCAATGATGAAGCAACTAAAGCGAAAGACTGAGCAGCCTAGAAGCTCCTGGCTGGCTCCTCTGGCGTGTTTGATATTGACTCAAAAGACATGGAATTCATTGGCAAACCTGCCTCCTCCTCCTCCTCTTACCTTTGGAGGAAAGATCGGTTCCTGGTTGGCTGGGGCAGTGTTATTGATACAGCTGGTGTCATCGTTACCTTCCACTAACAGATCACTCGACACCTGCTGGGCCAGGCAGGGCCAGGCCTGGGCATTGCCCACAGAGCTAGAGGCATCGATTCTTCCATCATCTGAGAGCCCAGGGGAGGCCACGACCCAGCCTCCTGGGGACCCAACAGAAGGACTAGACTGCTCCAGGTGCTGGATCTCCATTGCAGGTCTTGGCTGCCTCTTTCCTTCCAGCTGCCTGATCCCTCTTGTTGTCCCGAGCAGAGGAGATGAGTTCGTCATTGTCTGGGAGCTGTGGCAGAGTGACAATGCTGTCCGGAGAAGGGGCTCTGGGAGTGGCTGTGGCATGAGGAGCCCAGGGTGAGGACTCGCCTGGGGTGTCCTCGTGGCGCGCGCATCCCGGGTGGCGCCATGCTTCAGCAGATTCTTCATGACATGTACATCGACCCTGAGCTCCTCGCTGAGCTCAGCGATGTGCAGAAGCACATCCTCTTCTACAAAATGCGCGAGGAGCAACTGAGACGCTGGAGGGAGCGTGAGGCTTGGGAGGCCCTGGCCCAGGTCGAGGGCCTCAGGCCCCCCAAGGTCAAGCGAGGTAGGTGTCTGGGAATAACCAAAGGCCTGGGTCCTGGCCTCCTGGGAGATGGAAAAGTTGGTAATATGAGGCTGTGTTCTTTAAAATATGTACTGATGGGATGAGGATCAGGGGCTTGAAACCCTTGTTCTGTGAGCATCCTATCCCATTAGCCTGGGTGTCTCTCTTTTATGCAGGGCTCCAAGGCTGCACAGGGGACTGCCGGGGGACCCTGATGGCATGGAGAGAGGGCAGGGTGCAACAAAGACACACCACCCCTCCCTCCCTGGCGAGTGCAGCTCTGTGGTCCCAACTCAGTACCCTGTGCCCCTCCTCTCCCTGTCCTTGTGTGAGAGGATGCTTCGGGTTGTGCTGGAGAAACCCTGGGCCTCTGGACCTGCATTAAGAGTGACCAGCCCCAAAGGTAGTAGCAACTGCAGATGAGAAGCAAGCGTTCAATCCACATTTCAGGTGGTTACCATGCAGTGATGTGCCAGTCAAGGCTGTGGACTGGGGCACCTGTGAGCGAGGGCACATCTGGAGCAGGCGGGCTGCTGAGTTGTGCAGGACTCGAGACCCTGCTGGGAGGGCACTGTATGTGGATGCTGCACTTTGCCATTCACAAAACCCGTTCATCTTCTTTCTCATTGGCTGCCCACAACAGCCCTCCTCTTAGCCTCTATACTGTTGGCCAGAGTGAGGTGTAGCCTTGATCAGTTTGTAAGTTTTCAGTCTGGGACAAGGTTCTGCTTCTCGATAGACATACAGGCCCCTCGGTGACCTGGCTCCCTCTCTTCACTCCTGGCTCACCATTAGCCCCTGCTATGTGCTGCAGGCCACACCTGCACCCATCTGGCCATCTTGCTCTAGCCTCTCTCTTTATACGCATGATTCTTCTCATGAGGAATGTTCTCCTGCCTTTATCCTCCTTTAGTTCTGGCCCCTGCCTTTTGCAGTCTCTCGGGATGCTCCTGGCACAGAGGTACTTGCTCCTTGGTGACTGCTTGGCCCATCCCTGCCCTAGCACTGGCCTCACTGTCAATGTCTTTGATCCTCTGCTTGCCTGGCTCTCCCAGGGGACTCAAAGCTCCGGGAGTGAGATCATTCTCCATTCCATCTTCCACCCTTGGGTCTAACACAGAGCTGTCACAGAGCGTGAAATCCCCATTTTGAGCAAGACAAGAGTAGGACCCCAAGGAGGCAGAGCTATGACTTGGCTGCCTGTGGCTGGTGCCAAGGCTGGGACTGCACTGGCAGCTTCATCACTGCTGGTGAAAAAGACAGGCCACCTTCCTGCCCCACCCACCCAGAGCCCTGGGGTCGCATGTCATTGATACTGTGACTCTTCTGGGAGGAAGACAGATGCCTAAAGCTTTAACTACAAAAATATTTTTACTATGATTTGTCACACGTTGACATCTACATTTTCGTGCATAAATTATACGTTAAGCTCATTTGGGTTTCTGGTGCAGAAGACTCTTTTCCAGATAATTAATTTTCTGATTTATAAAGAATGGAGACAGAAGGAGTGTGTGTATTCCAGGTCAGGATCCTGCTCAGATCTCAGCTCTTTTCTTCAGTCCCAGAGCTTTCTGGGAAGACCTCGGGGAAGCCCTGGGGGCAGGCTCAGCCCCAGAGGCTGAAGAGCTTCTTAGTATGGGTCTGGGTGCACATTGCCTGCTTCTCATCCTGGAATCTTGATAAAAGGTTGCAACAACCACTGCACCTTGTCTGAGACCTTTAATATTTACCGTGTGCTTGCCCTCACTGAATGCCCCCATAACCCTGTGACCCAGTCTCAGATGAGGAAACCACAGCCCAATCCTCCAAAGTTACCTAACTGCTAAGAATGCAGTCGGGATGAATATCCTGTGACTTTGACCTTGGTCCAGTGACTGATGTTTTTCTATTCATTCACTTCTGAACTCAGTGCTTCTATTCAATGGATGATCTGTGCATGTATTCATTTGTTCATTCATTCATACCTTTAGCCAGCATCACTAAGCTCTGATCTTGGTGAACTGGACAGAGCTTCAGCTCTTGAATCCATGGGTAAACAGATCAGATCCAAGAGAGCATGCCAACGGGAGTGTCAGGAGTGAGACTTGGGAAAGAAGCAGCCATGGGGTGGCTCAGGGCAGGTGTGCAGGCACAGGCTCTATCAGCTGGATCTTTTCTCTTCCTTTCTTTCACAGACACTTCCTTCCCAGCTTGTGCCTCCCTCCCTCCAATCTGTCCTAAAGGAAGCACCTGCTGAGTCCTGTTGTGTGTGCCAGCCTCTTGGGATCCCTGAGCACAACTTAGTTCCTGTCAGCCTGGAATGACCTTGCACCTCCTCCTGCCCATTGATCTCCCCAGTCCCATTTGTCCCTGGAGAACTCCATCCCACCCTCTCTCTTCGGAGGACACTTCTCAGCTCCTAGCGGGCCTGATCTCGCTGTCCCTAGGACTCAGGCAGGGCAAGATGCCTCCTGACGCTGAGAACGTCTCTGCTTTCCGCTTGTACCTGCAGAGGGTAGGGATAAACATTTGTGATATGGATTATTCTGGTTACAGAAACTCGGTGGTTGTTCTGGTCCTGGGAGGGTCCACAGAAGTGAGCTGGGCTGAAAGAGGATGGTCATGGCTGGGTGCATCTCACTCCCCTGATCATGCAGGTGTGTCTTTTTGGTTTTATTTAGTACTTTGCTGAGATGCTTCTGGTGTTCTGCCCTGTCGTAGAAGAGACCCTCAGCCTCCGTTGTTTTCACATTTCCTGTCGTATTTGCTAGTTTGTCACGTTTCTGGCAAAATTTGATGTCTGATGGAAATTTGTGTTGTTTGTTGAGACTCCGGGAAGGTGTGTTAGCACATTACATTCTGCTAGATTTAAGCCACCGGCATCAAGCATGATGGTGACTCTGCAGCTCCTCACATGCGATGTGGGTTCTTGCAGCCTTCACAACCTCCTGGCCCTTTCTGGGGTTTCTTGGGGCTGGAGCTGTGTGTCATCTGGGACACAGGACTCAGGACACATGTTCCTACTGCTGCGGTGACCCAGGCAGGTCTTGCTGGTTCTGGCCACGATTGGCAGTCTCTCTCAGTGTTAAATTGGTTTCTCCATGACCATCTTCTTATCTGTCTGGACATCCTCTTCCTGGGGTCCAGACCTCTCCCCCCACTCTCCTTCCTGCTCTCTCCTTTAACGTGGCTGACATTGGCCACACTGCAAGCCAAACCTGCAGCTTCACGGAGGTGCCTTATGCTCACCCACTCAGCCAGCCTTGTACCTGCCCCTCAGTCCAGCCTATGGAAGACTATAAATCTGGCTGTCCAGCCCCCACAGCTTCCATTCCCCAAGGGTCTAGAGGCAGCTCCCACCTGCTAGGCCCACCTCTTTCTGCCCTCCCATCCTTTGCCACTCCCACAAGCAGCCCTGACCTGGGGCTGGAAGGAGGCACCCGATCCAGCATCCCATCTCAGCTCTCAGCCATTCCCACTGCGCGTCTGCCCTGGACTTGGTGGCCAGGTAGGCCTGGTCCATGCTCTAATGAAAGCTGTGGGATACGGTCTTTCTCCCTGGGCATCCACCTTGTCTCTGTTTCCTGGGAACCTTCCAGTAACCATGGCAACCTCCCCTGCTGGGCTTGGACCCTCCTAGCCTCAGAGCGTTCCCTTTCCGGGTGTGGGAACCTGTACTAGCCTGCAGACAATCCCAATGCATCCATCTTCTCAGTTGTCCCCCTGCCTCAGGCTCATGCCCTATGTCCTTTCACTGCAGAGCAGGCACAGTGCCCTTTTAACACATTAGACTCAGGGATCTCGCTGCTCCAGTGGCTTCCATTGCACTCAAAGGAACACAAATGCTTTTTGAGGGCCTCTGCCCATTCTCCAACCCAGTTTCCACCCTTTTTGTGTCTCTCTGCATGGAATACTCTTTTCCCAAATCCTCATGAGGCTGCGTTCTCCCCTTCGTTCATTTCTCAGTTAAATGTTGAGCTCTTCACTGATTCCCTGCTCTCAAGGAACTCCACCCTTGTCTTATAACATCCAGCCTGACTTCCCTCAAAGCACTTACCTCATCTGAAAGTATCATTTTTTGTGTATGTGGTAAAATATACACAACATAAAAGTTACTATTTTAACCATTTTAAAGTGTGCAATTCCGTGACATTCAGTACATTTAGAATGTTGTGCAACCACCATTCATGTCATATACATCACCCCAGAAGGAAAGCCCATATCCATTACTTGGTCATATCCCATCCTTGCCCCCCACAGCCCCTGGCAAGCACTGATCTGCTTTCTGTCTCTGTGGATTTGCCTTTGTTGTTATCGTCTTCTTTTCTCTCATGTCTGTGTGCTTGTTTATGGTCTGTCTCTTCCATCAGCCTGCACGTGCCGTGTCAGCATGGCTGTGACTGCGTCGTGTCCATTCTAGCAAGTGGAACAAACCTGAGGATTATGGTTGGGGCCGGCTGTGGGCAGGGAGCTGCTTGAGACCCTGGTGTGCGTGCTGTGTCAAAGGGCTTGGTTGAGGAGACAGGTATTAAAGGATTTCTCTTTTGAGTAGAAGGCTGTGAGCTGTGGCATTCCCAGGTTACTCTGTGATAAAGAATCTGCCTGCCATGCAGGAGACATGGGCTTGATCCCAGGGTTGGGAAGATCCCCAGGGATCAAACCCACACGCCTTGCATTGGAAGGCGGAGTCTTAACCACTGGATGCTGGGTAAGTCCTTCCTTCTCATTTCTTTTTTTAGGATTTTGACTTAGATTTTAGGTTGACTGACTCTGCTTTTTTCCTTTGCATCTGCCTAGTGTTCATTTCCTTGTATATTTTCTTCCCCCCTCTTTTTGATACTATCATTTTTTTAAAGGGAGTCGATTGAAGTGTATATTAAATAGTGTATATTCGTTTAAAGCTTTAAAAATATGTACTTGAATCCATTTTATCTTTATCAGGAATGAAATGTTATAGATTGAAGATGAGAAACAAGGATGTTTCAATATCCCTCTCCATGGTTTTGTTGGCATAATCAAGAATTTTAGATTGATTTTGTTTAGTTATCTTTCAAGACTTATTTTTTATGCCAGTAGTGGTTTTGTAATCAAGTTGTAATAACAATAATTACTTAGACACTAACTCCACTTTGTACTGCTAATTCCCCACAATTTTTCCTCTGAGGGGAAAGTGATACATATTTTATCCCTTCCCTGCCCCCTTGTACAAATGATTTGGCCACCCCGGCAGCACACCCCTCACTGTTTGGATTCTCAGCGCGTCACACAGAAGTTATTAAACATCGAGGGAAATCCGTCTTTGAAGCTGTCTCCTGCCCCATCCCTGTTCTTGCTGTCATATTGTGGTGGGCATGCTGATTTTCTTCAACTCCCTTTTTAAATTTCTCTATTAGTGCCAGCAGTTTTCCTATAGCTCCACTTAGAGGACAGCGAGTATGTAGGAATATTGGGGAATCAAGGGCATGGAAGCCCTGGATTTGGGGGGCTGTAATTCTTTGGGGTGTCACTCTGCTTCCCTTCATCTGAGATGAGCAGCTGCGAGGCTGAAGTGTGCAGAGATCTCACACTGGCCCTGGCCGGGGGCCTGTGCAGCCCGCTGGCCCACTCCCTGTCCTCCTGGCCTTCCCTGAGCCCAGTGCCAGGGTTCTGACCGAGGCAGCTCTGCCAGAGTCCTCGGCTCCGTCTCCAGCATTTGTAGAAGCTACAAAACCACAGGCTCACCAGGTGGGCAGTGGGAGGAGCCAGGCAGAAGCTGCTGTGAGAGGATGTGGGGGCACCCGCCTTAATCGCATCTGGTGCCCAGCAGGTGTGGGTGTCCCCAGGGGTGAGGGTGCAGTCTTGTTGAATGTGGACAGAGATCAGCTTTAGATGGAACCCTTAACTGTCAGCTCTGAGCGTCCTGGATCTGGCAGACAACTGAAGGTATGCCCTTGCCCCACTGAAGGTTTTGGAGAAGGAGGTCTGAGGGGTTCCTGGAATGGAGGCTTAGGTTCTGGAGGCTAAGGAGGAAGGGCCAGTGTTGCAGGAAGAATGAGGCCTCAGAGCAGCTGCTTTCTCTGGAATGAAGGAGTACTCACCCAGATGGAATGTCTCACCTGTCCTGGGCCCCTGATGTGCCTGTTTATCTCACTGCCTTAGGGACCTGAGATTGGGTCCTTTGTGTTTCATGAAATCTAGGAGTTACAGCCCCCAAATCCAGGGCTTCCAAACCCCTTATTCCCCAGTGTTCCTACAAACTCATTGCCCTCTACGTGGATCTACTGAAAAACTGTTGAATCTAACAGAGAAATATAAAAAGGGAGTTGAAGAAAATCAGCATGCCCACCTTAGACTCATGAAATCTAACATGCTGGAGCTTGAAAGACACACTATTTTTATATACTACTAAGAAAGCTGTCAGAGAAGGCAATGGCACCCCACTCCAGTCCTCTTGCCTGGAAAATCCCATGGACGGAGGAGCCTGGTAGGCTGCAGTCCATGGGGTCGCGAAGAGTCGGACACGACTGAGTGACTTCACTTTCACTTTTCACTTTCATGCATTGGAGAAGGAAACGGCAACCCGCTCCAGTGTTCTTGCCTGGAGAATCCCAGGGGTGGGGTCGCACAGAGTCGGACACGACTGAAGTGACTTAGCAGTAGCAGTAACAAGAAAGCTGTAAATGAAACCATGATACACCACTGTTTATAAGACACATCCTGATTTCAGAAACTTTAAGATGTATGTTGTCAAATTAACAAAATAGGTTATCATCTCCGTTTGAGCTGAGGTGGAGTTAGAATCTGGGTCCAGGCTCGTTGGGGCTCCAGTTCCCCACACCTCAGTGCACAGCATCTTCCTCCTTCTCGCAGATACTCTTATGGTGAAATGACATATTCCAGGTGACTAAAGACCAGTGCAGAAAAAGCAAAAACAAAATTCTAGAAGTAATCAAGGAAAATATGAGAGCATATTGGGAGGGTGAAGGCTTTCTTAAAACAAGACACAACAAGAAAAATAAGGAAAATAAAGATAAATATGACTAAATTTTAAAAATCTTTACAAAAGATACCAAACTGAGTTTAAAAAGAAAACAAAACAGGAGAGATAAATGAGAGGAAAATATTTGTAATAGGCAAAGGACTTGTATCCAGAGATGAAAGAAACTTCCCCAATCAGCAAAAGAAAAATAGGAGAAAAATGGAGGAAAGATATGAACAAGTCACTCACAAGAGTGAAATTTCAAATCCACAGTGACCATGCGGAAAGGTTTTCAGCCTCACTAATAAAGTATGTCATTGCCAATTAAAACAATAATACTGGCAAAGGTTAAAGAAGTTTGGTAGTAGTGATGTTGATGGGGCTCCTCCTACAAGGCTAAGGAGGGACATATAAAGAGGGAGAGAGTTTCTGCAAGTTCCTAAAGAACTTGGTGCACTGGGGATGGGATTCTCCTGCCCGCCTACCCCTCACCATTTTCCTGGATGCTGCCAAGAGCCCATGGGCTATATATTTTTTTCTCTAGTTAAAAAAAATTTTTTTTGAGTGTAGATGATTTACAGTGCTGTGTTAATTTCAGGAGTACAGCAAAGTGGACCAGTTACGCATACACATATATCCACTTTTTTTTAAGATTCTTTTCCCATACAGGGCATTACACAGTGTTGAGTAGAGTTCCCTGTGCTATACAATAGATCCTTAATAGTTATCTAGTTTATATATAGTAATGTGTATATATCAATTCCAGTCTCCCAGTTTGCCCCACCCCCTCTTTCCTCCCTGGTAACTGTAAGTTGGTTTCCTGGAGCCCATGGACTGATTAAGCAGATGGAGTTTTGCTCAACTCTGGCTGGAGGGAAACTCTTCTCCTGCCTGTTGCAGGACCTCAGCTGGGCATGCCAGGCTGAGCTGCTGGGGTTGTATTTTCTCCCCTTGCTTGAGCGGTGTTCATGCCTGCCACCTCCCTTCTTCCCTGACCACCTCACTGCTTCCTCTTCCACCTGGAAGTCAGCAGAGGCAGTTTCTGAAAAAGGCCACCACCTGGTTATCTCGTGATTCCCTGTAACCTGACGCCAGGTCTCAGCTCTCCTTAGTGGAGTCATGCTGAAGTAGCAGGTTGCAGGCAGCTGCCGGCCCCTCTGTTATCTCTCGGAGTGGCTAGTAGCATCACTGCTTTCCAGGTTTTCTCACATTAAAAATTAGCAAAGCCTCCTAGGATTCTCTCATTTGAAACCAGATTTTGCATTTAGCTTTGGGATTTAAATTCTTCAGGTGCATTTCCATACCTGTTTCCCGCCTGTCCTTTCAAAATGACATGATTTGGGGCCTCAAGGAGCATTTATTTTTATCTTACCATCTCATGGATATGCTTATTATCTGGCCACCATGGTTGGGTTCCCTATACATTCTATCAATGGTTTCAAAACGTTTAAAACTTGTTGTTTCTTTTATAATGGCCGAGAATGTAGTCTATCCAGGTGAGTGTTCTGTGTGTACTTGAAAGAAAGTGTTCCATTATAGTGTGGACTGTTCTATAGATGTCAGTTAGGTTAAGTTTGTCCATATCTTTTTTAGACTTCTATACCTTAGCTAATTTTTTAAATTACTGTATCAAATAATTGCCAGGAGAGTTTTTCTTGTTGTTGTTGTCCAGAACAGCTTTATTGAGACATAATTCATAAACCATACAAGTCACCTGTTTAAAGTGTATACAAGTCACCCATTTAATGTGTACAACTAAATGGTTTTTAGTATATTCACAGAGATGTGCAACCATCACCACAATCAATTTTAGAATATTTTCATCCCTCAAGAAAACTCGTAGACTTTAACTAGTACCCTTCAGGCCCCTCTCTCCCTGCTCCAGCCTTTAGTGATCACTATTCTTTTATTATATTCTTTTATTTATTTATTTATTTTTTACCACTGATATTCTTTAGGGGCTTCCTAGGTGGTGCTAATGGTAAAGAACTTGGCTGCCAATGCAGGAGACATAAGAGACACAGGTCCAATCCCTGGATCAGGAAGATCCCCTGGAGGAGGGCATGGCAACCCACTCCAATATTCTTGCCTGGAGAATCTCATGGACGGAGGAGCCTGGTGGGCTACAGTCTATAGGGTTGCAAAGAGTCAGACACGACTAAAGCGACTTAGCATGCGGTCTTCTTTAGGTCTCTGGATTTCTCTATTCTGGACTTTCATATGGGTGGAATAATATAATAAGTGGACTTTTGTGACTGGCTTATTGCACTTAGCTTAATGTTTTCAAGGTCCATCCACAAAGTAGCATATATCCGTATGTCATTCTTTTTATGGCTGAATAAGATTCCATTATATGCATGTATCACATTTTGTTTATCCATTCATCTCTTAAAGAATATTTGGGTTCTCACTTTTGACTATTATGAATAATGCTTCTGTAAACATTCATGTGCAAGTTTTTGTGTGGATGTGTTTTCATTTCTCTTGGGTGTGTATCTATGAGCGTGATTTCCAGATCTTTTGATAACTTTAGTTTAATAACTTGGGGAATTGGTAGATTGTTTTACAAAACAGTTACACCATTTTAATTTTCCACAAGCAGTGGATAAGAGTTCCAATTTCTCCACACCCTCACCAGTACTCATTATTATTTATGTTTTTGGTTAAATCCATCTTGGGAGGTGTGAAGTGTTATGTCATTGTGGTTTTGATTTGTATTTTCCTGATGAGTAAAGATGTTGAGCATCTTTTCTTGTGCCTGCTGGACATCTGTATATCTTCTTCAGAGAAATGTCTAGATCCTTTGTCCATTTTTTGACTGAATTGTCTTTTTATTGTTGAGTTGTAAGAATTTTTATGTACTCTAGACGCAAGTTCTTTATCAGATATATGATCTGCAAATATTTACTCCCACTCTTTGAGCTGCCCTTCACTTTTTTTTTTTGCTATTTCTTTTTTTTTTTCTCATTTATTTTTATTAGTTGGAGGCTAATTACTTTACAATATTGTAGTGGTTTTTGTCGTATATTGACATGAATCAGCCATGGATTTACATGTACTCCCCATCCTGATCCCCCCTCCCACCTCCCTCTCTACCCGATCCCTCTGGGTCTTCCCAGTGCACCAGGCCCGAGCACTTGTCCCATGCATCCAACCTGGGCTGGTGATCTGTTTCACCATAGATAATATACATGTTTCGATGCTGTTCTCTCGAAACATCCCACCCTTGCCTTCTCCCACAGAGTCCAAAAGTCTGTTCTGTACATCTGTGTCACTTTTTATGTTTTGCATATAGGGTTATCATTACTATCTTTCTAAATTCCATATATATGTGTTAGTATACTGTAATGGTCTTTATCTTTCTGGCTTACTTCACTCTGTATAATGGACTCCAGTTTTATCCATCTCATTAGAACTGATTCAAATGAATTCTTTTTAATGGCTGAGTAATATTCCATGGTGTATATGTACCACAGCTTCCTTATCCATTCGTCTGCTGATTGCCCTTCACTTTCTTGATGGCATCCTTTGAAACACAAAAGTTTTAAGTATCAAATTTTGATGAAGTCCAAATAGTTATAAATATATTTTGTTGTTTATGCTTTTGGTGTCGTATCTAAGAAACCATTGTCTAATTTAAGATTATGAAGATTTATGCCTATATCTATATTTTCAAATCTATTAATACAGAATAGTACATGATACTCTCTTTTATTTATGGATTTAGTTTTGGCTGTGCTGGGTCTTTGTTGCCGCCCGCCAGCTTTCTCCAGTTGCAGAGTGGGGGCTCCTCTTTGTTGTGGTTGGCGGGCTCTCGATGTGGTGGTTTCTCTTATTGCAGAGCACAG